CCCCAAAACCCCAAAACCCCAAAACCCCAAAACCCCGGAGGATAATAGATAGATTGAACTAAATAATGTTCGAAGATTGGGATAGTTTATAGCCTTAGTTTTGGATACTCCTGCACCCTCTTACAACTCTGAGGTCTTCCTCCTTTCTTACTCTTGCTGAACCCGTACTTCTTTGGTAGCAACTCTTGCTTCTCGACCCAGTCAAGCTGAAGGTCAGCCTTCTTGGTCTTCGCTTTCGAAATGACTCTTCTCAGCAGCTTCTTAAGTTCACAGTAATCAGGGTCTTCTTTAAAGCCGAGGTTCCTAGTGATCCTCAGCATTTTGTGGAACTCTCGAGGAAGCCCTGCACAGATGTCGCTGGCTTTGATGCTCTTGGTTTGTTTGATCTGTTCGAGCTTGCTCCTGGTGACTTGACCATCATGTTTCCACGGCAAAGTGCCTGTGGCTAGGTAAATCAGCACATATACCAGTGACTCCAAGTCATCTCTGCGAGAACTCTCATAGCCGTAGTGACACCTCAGTGAAATGTACTTGGCAGTGCCGACCACTCGCGGGTGCGTCTTCAAAGGGATGTGCAGCTTGGTCTTCGGATCCACAAACCGCTTTGCAAGTCCGAAGTCGATCAGGAATATTTCAGTGGGGTCTTCTCTGCCGATGACGACATTGTGAGGCTTGATGTCTCTGTGGATGAAGCCGCGGTTGTGAACGTCTTTGAGCCTGTCAATCAGCTTGAGGCCGACCATGCAGGTGGTCCAGAGTGAAAACTTGCCTCCAAGATAATGCTTTAGGTGGGCAAGGCTGAATCCGTAGAGAGGCATGGAAAGAACTTTGAAGTCTTTATAGTTGAGATAGTCATGAAGTTGAGGGATTCCTCGGACTCCAGAGAGTTCTTTGATAATTTGGGCTTCTGTCTCTAACATTGGGTTATCAGCCATATTATGCTCAGTCTTGATTGCAACTGTTTTATTTAATTTTAACATCATAAGCAATATAGATCTTTCCAAAGCCTCCAGTTGCAATTTTCTTATCAACTATATACCTTGAGTTAATTTTTGATTGATGCGACTTGTAAGGCATTTTAAATTATTTATATTTTCTCAGTATGACGACTGAAATAAGGGGTTTTGGGGTTTTGGGGTTTTGGGGTTTTGGGG